TGTTACTTTTTTTTTTTTCTTTTTGTCTCCGACATTGTCTCTGCCAGGTCCGTTTTTGATGGTGTCTTTAGCATTTTCACCCTTTTACAAATTATTTGTAGCTCAATAGTGTCCATTGCTAGTGGATAAACACGAGCATAAAAGAAACATTTGGTATTTTACACCTTTGAAATGGAGTGAATAAATCAAGGATTGACATTAGTGCACTGGGGAGATTCCCTTACATACTGCGCTCCCTTTCTTAAGGTTTGAGGTTTGAACAACGGATCAACATCATGGCACACGGATAGTAACCCATAAGTGCTCCATTCTTCTTTTAACTCAAGTCTGAGTCCGAAGAAGCTCAGCACTGTGCACAGGCTCTGTAGCACCGGCGATGATCCTGAAATACTTTAGGTAGATTTTTAACTTCAAATTTTGTCCGGGCAGCGCCGTTAGGCTACTCTTTTCGATTTCCAACTGCCAAAATATTTTTTTACGTGCGCAACAATACACACGGGCGTCCGATCTCACTATCCAGAGTTAAGAGGAAATTACTAGAAGTCCAAGTCCACGTGAAAAAATCCCAGCCCTTACCAAGGATTGAACCCGGAAACTCTAGCCCCGGAGGCGGACACCATGCCTCGAGACCACACAGACCCTCCCTTTCTTAGTAGCCAACGAAAAGCATCCAGAAATGCAGTAAAGAGAACAGAAACACCCAGAGTATTATTTCTATGGTATAATATATAATACGGTAATTATGTGCCCAACATGACCAGTAACATAACACAAGGGATTTTGCTAGTGTACATTCCTTATTTTATTAACATTTACCCGGTCCTGACCTCAGAACGACCCAGACTGATAATTCCTGTAAAAGTATATTTTAAGGTAATTTCCCCTTATAACACTCAAGAGATCTCGACAGGAACGTCTGTTTCTAATCAATATACCATATTTGCCTGCTTCTGAATTATTGTCTCATTTGTTTTTCTCATTTCTTTTTCTCCTTCTTCTCGTTCACGGCCTGTAAACTCCAGTGGAAAATGCTGGTTGTTTTTCTATCTCTGGACCTAAGTTGTGTTCCAGAACCTGAGTCTTACGTGCACATCCGTTTATCAGAGGCAGGTGCACTCCGACTTCGAAGGAAGCCCGAAACAAGTCGACTCTTACGACATACTTTTTGGGGAGGCAGTGGATCTGTTCTTGTTTCCCCCACAATAGGGCCCCGGAACCCACACAGGGAGGTTTTTTTTTCCAGTGTATTTTTCTGTTAGAAAACATACTACTGCAGTTAGTTGTTACGCGTAGCGTTTCTTTTCCAATATTTTCTGCTGTTAATGCAGAGGTCAACGCTCTCATCGATGAAATTTCAGACGAAGCAGATGCAATAATCTATACAGACGGATCCGTTATACGCCAAAGAAGAAGCGCATGGGCATTTACAGCACGCTCAGCGGGCAGAACAGTCAAAGAAGCCAACGGCGCCTTCTCCATGACAACCAGCAGCATGACGCTGGAGGTGATGGCAGTGACGCAAGCGCTTGCCTGGCTTGAAACACAAAAATACACCCGCGTGTATATACTCAGTGATTCAATGAGTATGATCCGGAGGGTTCAGGCAGGTTCAGTGCGAAGACAATGGCTTGAATCATTACATAAGTCCACTGTGTGTGGAGTCACCTTTATTTTTGTTCTGGGACACGCAGGCATCGATGGAAATGAAAGATCTGACAGGTTGGCTGGATCCGCTATCACTTCCGACGGTCAGCCTATGGATCATGCTGATATTATCAATGCCCTCAGAGAAATGGGAAGGATAGAGGACTTTGGTGGCAGTGAATCCACATCACTCGCCAGAATGGCAGACTTGGGAATTAAGATCGGCACAGCAAAAAACGAGACGCACACCAGACACGCCAGAAGACTTGTTAATCAACATATAACTGGTACTATTAGCCATCGGACGTTGGGGTTCATACTGAGGGGAGGATCTGAGCACCTGTGGACATGTCCGGAGTGCAATGAGGATAACCCAACTAACTAACTAACTAACTAATTTTCCCCCCAGATGAGGTCACGGGACAGTCCAATATTTTCAAGGGTAAGAACAGGTTTCCGGCTGTGTGTGTGCCTTGGTTGAGAACCATTGCCAACTGTTGGGGAGTTGGTGCGTTTCTTCTTTGGCGCGTTTCTTCTTTGGCGCGTTTCTTCTTCTGGCGGGCGTCTCTCCAACGACGAAAAGAAGAGGACCGATGGCGGTGTCAAAAGTCGACCTGTCGTTTGGACATACCGTTACGGTAAGGGACATGGCTCGAAGGGTTGCGCCTGCCTTACCTACAGAACGTTCTGTTTCTGTACGAGTTGACAAGCATTCAATTTTGCCACGAAGAGCTGTTCATGTCGAAGAATACAAATGTGGAGCGGGGCAAATACATACGGGAGGTTTGTGCCAATACATCATATTGAATCCTGTAGCAATCGGCGGAGAGAACACCACTGTTGAAATTGACGAAAGTCTGCTTGCAAGGCGGAAAAATCATGTGGGGACAAGTGTTTCCACACCAGTGGGTATTTGGTGGCAGAGACGCTTGTGTCGATCATTAGCACAAAACATACCTGGCAGGACAGTAGTCTCCGACCTGTGGAATGCTTACAATGGAATTGAGAATATTCCTAGATTGCCACATCTCAACGTCAATCACTCCATGATTTATGATTGGCCTTTTTTAGGGCCACCCGTACAGGTGGCAATTTCTCCCCGAATGCACACATAGTTTTTAAAAAAAAAAAACGTTGTTGTCAGCTACTGGCTACATCGAGTGTTCTATATTCTAGATGTAAGCGCTTTTAACGACCACAAAACACCCACAACTGACCCCAACCCACCTACGTCCTACTTTACCCCTGAAATATTAGACTGTCCCGTGACCTGAGGAATTCCCGTGTTTGGGGGGGAGATATAGCGAAAGTACTGCAGCTTGTCTGGTATGGGTATAGAGACTTTAAAGAAGGGTAGAAATTAAGTTTTTAAAAAAGTAACGTCGGGAGATATGAACCAGCGTCATTACACACGGTTATAAACCATAAGTGCTCTGCCACCAGTTATCATGTACGTCACTTACATAATGCACTAGTCATCTCCTTGTGAGATGCCATGTTTCGTTATTTTGAAGCCCCACCCTGGCTCTTGTCTGGGGCCGCAATATAGCCCGGCAATAATAAATATGGCCTAATGGCTGAACGCGGCTTCTGGGACCTCTCCACGGGTGATCCTCATCCACATGGTGGCGCTTTGTTTCATCGGTTGTTTATCACTTTGTGTGATGTCCTAGTGGGGTATAAAAATCTACTCTACTGCAACCAGTACGGACATCTGATAAGAAACTGCCCGCCTAGTGTAGAAATATACCGTGTGGATAGCAAAGATAATTTCTTTGTTTAACGAATCTCACCAAAGAGCTTGTGAGTCATGACAAATCCACTGCTGCTGTTTTGTTGAAAGAAATTTTAATATAATAATAAATAGTAGCTGTCCACTGGAATAACTAGCGATTTTTAAAAAAAAATAGAAGAAAAACTGCACCAGAAAATTCCACAGTTCGATTGTAACAACACTTTTAAATTTCCATTCTCTTCCCCCCGTTTTGTCAGCAAGGACGGTATGGCCTCCTACAGACACATTCTCTTTTAATTATTCTCTATTTTGAATTAATTAAAGTTCGCCGATATTTCCCGAATCACCCGCTCGTCGCTTGGTTACTTTCCATTAGACAGCAATAAGGTCAAGGCCTGGCGAGAGCTAAATAGGGCAGCAAAACTTGCGTCGTCCTCAGTCAACACGAGATTCCCCTCAACCACGAGTAAATACAACATTACAGACCGTTAGCTTGTTTATTACGTCCGTCCAGTGGTAGGTAGGTAGGTGATGCTGGCACCCGTTGAGTGTTTCAACGTTGTGGTTAGTTTATTGAAGTCATTTTTTATATTGCATAATTTATATGTTAGAAATACGCACGTTTTTAATATATATTCATAATACAAATGTTGGTTTGGATGAAGTCGTTCTATTTCTCTAGGCGATGATGGTAATTTATGAACTCCTGCTTGGTTCTTTACGCATATTTGTTTACATTAGCTACGCAGATACATTTTAGGTTTAATTCACGTTTAAAAAATTTTTTTGATTATAAAAGTATGTTTTGATGTAGTTGGCAAATATGAGATCGTTGGTTTCGTGCAAGTCTGATGTCAGTCCATTATAAGATAAATATTAAATAAATAAATGGTAATTTTTATGTAAATAAATAAATTGTGCCATGAAACGTAAATAAAATATTCCAAAATTCATTACCCTCCTAAGAGTAAAAAGTTATCTGTCATTAGTTAGTTGTCTGAAATATGTTGCCGTCCCATCTGGGACGCAGTGTTTCGTTATTTTTGAAGCCCCACTCCAGCTGTTTGTGGCCCTAATGATATATAACCTAATGGTTCAACTTCAACGGGTTTCTCACTGGGACTTGTGCCTGGGGGATTCTCATCCAAATGGAGGCAACTTGTCTCACCTGTCGCTCCTTGTGTGGTCCTGGTGGGGTTTGACTTTATTTATAAATGGTATATGGTGTACAGGCTAAGTGTGCCTTAATTATTATTTTTTGTCAATAGGGTATCCAGGATTTGCCTCTAAACTCAAGCAGAAAGTTCTGGTTGTTAATCCACTTCTGTACTTTGGTCTTATTACAGAGCTCAAGTCCACCTGTTTTTACAGAGGACCAGGTCTTCTATGATGACCCAACTTGAAATTAGTACTATGAAATTTCCTGGTAAAGTAAAGGTAGCCAGCATGGCACTAACATCACCCAACAAATGCTGATTGGTCTGTAAACAATATGGGTCAAACACCATGTGCCAGATTTTTTGTTGTTGTACTTTTGGATATTGAAACTACAAACTACTACATCCTAAGTTATGTGCATTTATTTTTTAAATCTTTTGCCACAGCACATGTGTGTGATATAATGATTAGAACCTTCCAGAAGCCTCTACATCAGGCATCACTTACTGTTACACGCAGCATCAGACAGCATGCCACCAAAACAGCTCCTACTGTTGGACCTGTAAAGATTGGCCGCCCATCACAAGACATCTTTTTGAAAGAGGAAAAGTATGGCGCTCACAATTACAGCCCTATACCAGTGGCAATTCACAGAGGGAAAGGTATATAATCTGTTCAGTTTCGTGGGGAAAACAAAACAATAAAGACCCTCTGCCTTCCCCTAACAATCATATCGTAAAAGTTGACTAATTAGGGGTTTCCTTCAAAGTTGGAATGCATTTGCATGAGAGGCAAGGAACCAGCAGTCTGCATACAAATAAGCTAGATCTGTAAAATGGCTGTGCATGCAAAGCTCAGGTTCTGGAACAAGACCAAAATCCAGAAGTGGACAAGCAACCAGAACTTTCTGCTGCAAGTTTACAGCCGGTGAACACAAAAAAGTATTCCATTTCTTTACATGCTTTCCAGGTCCACTTTTTTTATGGGGAAACAGAATTGACCCAATAACCCTTAACAAGCATGTTTTTAGAGGGGGCATGGCATACACCTCAAGTGCTGGAGGTCCCAGGTTCAAACCCCTGTGAAGGCAGAGATTTTTTTACGTGGACCTCTAGTAATTTCCCTGGTCTCTGGGTAGAAAAAAACGGACGCCTGTGTATGTTGTTGTTACGCATGTAAAAATTCATTTGGCAGCTGAAAATAGAAAAGAGTAGCCTAACGGCGCTGCTCGGGCAAATTTTCAAGTTGAAAATCTACCCAAATATTTCAGGATCCTCGCCCGTTCTACAGAGTTCATGCACTGTGCTGAGATTCTTCGGACTCAGGCTTGAGTTAGAAGTAGAACAGAGTACTTATGGGTTACCACCCTTGTGCCGTGATGTTGATCCGTTGTATAAGCAAACAAACAAACAAGCATGTTTTAAAAGGAGACTAATTAAATATTACCTGTGTTGGTCCAAAAGATGAATATATCGCAGCCTAGCTGTAAACAAAATAAATGAATTAATGATATTTTGTTCTGTTTAAAGTTTCTAGCAAGCATGCAGGCCTGCGGTCTCTTCTTGTGGTAATAGTATCCTACAAAGTGAATTCAAAAAATTGAATTGGGTTGTCTGGTGGACCAAGTCTGTAAATGGATATCTGGAAATATTTTAGGGAAAAAATCAGTAGATGTGGTATTGGCCATACTGTGCATTATGTGCTCAATGAACATTCCATTTCCAAATGATCATAGCCCTTTCTTTTTTAGGTGACCATATGTTGTTGTCTTATATCAGTGGCTGTTAACCTTCCTAATGCAGCAACCCTTGAATACGGTTCATGTTGTGGTGACCCCCAATCATAACATTATTTTTAACTACTTCATAACTTCAGTGAATAGGTGTTTTCGATGGTCTTAGGTGTCCCCTATAAAAGGGTCGTTCGACTCCCAAAGGGGTCGCAACCCACAGGTTGAGAACCGCTATTTTTTTAATGATCAGTGACTAGTAGAAATAATATGGGCCATTGAATATTAACGATAACAGAGTACTGCAAAAAATGTAAATATATTTTAATAATAAATGGTGGCCAAAGAGATCAGGAGATGAATGCCCAGCCATGCTAATGCCCTTGTTATAGCTTCTGGTCAGAAAGTTAAAAGTGGTGAGGCCAGACGAGGATGCTATGCAGGGGACTAAGAAGAATAGTGAATAGCAACCCTCACAAAACTATTATTATCAGTCTTTATGCATTGACTGATCTACTGATTAGGGGGATTTGAGAACATTGACATTTTATTTATCTTCATGTACACCGGCTGTAAACCCCAGCAGTGAGTTCTAGTTGTTAGTTCACCTCTGGACTTTGTCTTGTATCAGAACCTTAGTTTTGTGTGCACATCTGCTTTACAGATCTGGCTTATTTGTATATGGACTGATTGTTCCTTGCCTCTCAGACAAATGCACTTCAACTTTGGGGCAAACCCCCAAATAGTCAACTCTTATGACATGCTTGGGGAGGCAGTAGGTCTATTTTGTTCTTCCTACAATGGGGCCCCAGAACTCAGATGGAAAACATTGGAATTGAATAATTTAAACATTGTTGGCACCTTTCCAGACAGTAACATTGTTTTGGCTTAGGGAGGCATAGGAGTCATAGTCAGTGTGCAGAGAGGATTATTTGTCATCAGCATGATTATCATGTTGTACCATTTATATGTCACATAGGGCTGACATTGATCTGCTCCATTCTACCTTGTGCAATCCTTTCAGTGTCATGGATGAAATCGGCCTGGCACCTTTGGCCATTCTCATCAGCGGTTGTCTTAGGGTTTTCTCTAGGTTGTCATCACTTCCTCAGTTTTGATTTGTTTCCTATTCCACTGCCTGTTTAGTGATTCTCTTTCCACTTCTCAAGATGTGCCAGAGATATTGCCATCTTTTTTTCTGTCCTATAACTGTTGATACCAGTGGCACTCCAGCCATTTCTCTGGGTTTTTAACAAATGGGGGGGGGGGGGGGGGGGGGGGTGCTTATTTAAATTCATTCTATTTAATGTTCATTAGTGTTCTCAGGTTTTTGTTTTTGAATGCCCTTAACTTGCGCTTCACAATGGTTTTCCAACTTTCAGCAGCAGATGTGTAATTCCTGCTGTCATTTTCCAACAGTTACTGTTGTATAATGTTAGCAATTATCAACTGATTTACGAAAATAGGAACTGTGTCCTGCACTTAGAGTGACTTGCATTGCTTGGAAAGTCTCAGAACAGGAGCATATGGATGATCTGTTCAGAATATTCTAGCATGCAGGGTAAAAAGCAAACTGATAGATTGGCCGTTGCTGCTGCTCTGATGGTGGGCTACTTTGTAATGAAATAGACGTGGTGAAGGCTCTCAGGGATTAGGTGGACGGTACAACAGTAGAGAGAATCTATACATTCTTCTTCTTCGCGTTTACCGGTTGTAAACTCCTGCTGAAAGTTCTGGTTTTTCGTCAACTTCTGTTCCAGAAACTGAGTGTTGCATGTCCATCCGTTTCAGAAGTCTGACTCATCTGCATGCAGACTGTTGGTTCCTTGCCTCTCAGGCAAATGTACTCCGACTTTCAAAGGAGGCTCCCAATTACTAAACTCCTATGACATGCTTTTGGGCAGGTAGTGGGTCTATTCTTGTTTCCCCCACAATGGGGCCCCGGAACCCACACAGGAAAATCCAAATATTGATAGATGGGAGGTGAGCAGAGTGTTTCTGGAAGATAAATATTGAGGAGGAACAGAGGCCGACTTTTAATCAGGTTACAGCTGGTACTGTTAGCACATCAACTCTTTGTTGGCTAGCACATCAACTCTTTGTTGGCTAGCACATCAACTCTTCGTTGGCTAGCACATCAACTCTTCGTTGGCTAGCACATCAACTCTTCGTTGGCTAGCACATCAACTCTTCGTTGGCTAGCACATCAACTCTTTGTTGGCTAGCACATCAACTCTTCGTTGGCTAGCACATCAACTCTTCGTTGGCTAGCACATCAACTCTTCGTTGGCTAGCACATCAACTCTTCGTTGGCTAGCACATGAACTGTTCGTTGGCTAGCACATCAACTCTTCGTTGGCTAGCACATCAACTCTTCGTTGGCTAGCACATCAACTCTTTGTTGGCTACTGAGGAAAAAGCACATATGGGAGTGTCCCAAGTGCAGGGATGTCAGTTCTTGATTGATACATTTCTTCATTCAGACTATACACAGACGAATCAGTAACTAGGGCAGGCGAAGCTCAGGGGCATTTACAGTGAGCTCAGGATGGGGAAAGGGGGGGGGGGCATCTAGGAGATGGCGTTTTTGCTGTTACTAATATCCTTACAATGGAAAAGGGGCCATAACTATAACAGGGGCATTAACATGGCTGGGTATTCAAGAGTTCACACACGTGTGCATGCTTAGTGACTCAGTGAATATGCTTAAGAAAATACAGGCTGCTTTATCAGACAAGAATGGATTGTAACACTAAGCATAGGCTGGGTTATCAGACAAGAATGGATTGTAACACTAAGCACAGGCTGGGTTATCAGACAAGAATGGATTGTAACACTAAGCACAGGCTTAGTTCATCAGTCAAGAATGGATTGTAACATTAAGTACAGTCTGCGTTATCAGACAAAAACAGATTGTTACACTAAGCCCGGGCTGGGTTATCAGACAAGATTGGATTGTAATACTAAGCCCAAACTGGGTTATCAGACAAGATTGGATTGTAACACTAAGCCAAAACTGGGTTATCAGACAAGATTGGATTGTAACACTAAGCCCAAACTGGGTTATCAGACAAGATTGGATTGTAACACTAAGCCCAAACTGGGTTATCAGACAAGATTGGATTGTAACACTAAGCCCAAACTGGGTTATCAGACAAGATTGGATTGTAACACTAAGCACTTTGCGAATGGCTGGACTAACATCTTTGTGCCAGGTTGTGTGGGTGTTCAAGACATTGAACGGGCAGATTATTTTGCAGATACTGCTGTTGCTATGGCTGGTCTGGTACTGGGCAGAAGCAGTGTTATCAATTCAATGTGCAGCACTTACCATGAAGATGGCAAAGGGCATGACTCCATATCCCTGTCTAAGCTGTTGATCATGGGGGTGCAGCCTGGAGCTGCAAGAAATGGAATTTCATCAAGGTGACACAGCATTTGATCAGTCAACGCAGAACAGGCATCAGTCATTTTACTTATGCTTGTGGAGGTATAGAGGAGGAGATTGGCACACCTGTGGATCTATCATGTGTGTGAGTGATGTGATGATTATCTTCATTAATCACTTCTTTTTCTATCATCCCGTTGATACCAGGTTGAAGCCCACTTGTCGTGATTTTCTGTATTTGTCTTGTACTTCTTGGGTGAGTGATGGATTTGTTTATGTTTTTGCAGGTTTCAGCTACCCTATTTATTCTCTTCTTTCTTGGTCTACCTCTCGTCTCCCTCCCAGATGTTCTGCTGTAAAAAGTCACTAATCCCTAATTCATTCACACTGAGATCGTCAGTGACATGCTTCATGTAGCTTCTGTCTCCACACAGGAGTGTTCGTTTGGGACGTGGAAGGGAACAAGTATTACGACTTCCTCAGTGCTTACAGTGCACTGAACCAAGGTCATTGCCACCCACGAATTATACAAGCCTTGAAGCAGCAGGCGGACTATGTCACCTTGACATCGCGAGCCTTCTACAACACCTGTCTTGGAGAGTATGAAGAGTACATTACCCATCTGTTTGGCTATGACAAAGTGCTGCCAATGAACACAGGTGGGAGCTGTATACATTTTTTGTGTAGGAGTATAATGATTGTACCAGATTGGCATGATTGTTGGTATACCGATGGCATGATTTTGTGTGTGTGTGTAGAATAATGTTGTGACTGTGTATAAATAAGTAAAGGACCATTTTTTCACACCAGTGGTGCATCAGGTATATGATGCTAGACTCTTTTTTTTTTATTGACCTATTAGCGCTCAGTGGATGATGTATTCAACATCACTCTGGTTCCTTTACCTTTTAAGCATGAACATCCTAGGAATCTCGGCCATTTTTAAATTTTCATTTTGCCTGGTGCGAATTTGAACCCAAGGCCTTCATATCAACAAACATCTTGCCATTTGGTTACCACGGCTTTCTTGTTTTTAAATGCAATCTCTTATTGTATAAGCTCCCCACCCATAGGTCATGACCCCATATTTGATTGTAAAGAGTCTTCTGTGGAGTCGCCGGAGAGTGATGAGCTGTGCAAATTTTTAAAAGGGGAAAACAAACATTACCTTTTTATGTCCTGTGCAGAAAATCTATTTTCGATGTAGTTTTAATTTACCCTTATAAAAATCCCTTTTTTTTTTAATGTATCGGTTCACGTTGCCTCTATAAAATGAGGTTGTGGCTCGAAAAAGGTTGGAACTGCTGCATTATTGTTTGTAAATGTCCTGATTATTTATAAGCATATATGACAAAAGATAACAGTAAAATTTGGTTCTCTTGGCTGTTAACCAATTATCCATAAAGTGATTATTTAGCAGAGTAAAGATTACTTTGGGAGACCAGGGTTAAGTCCTTAAAGAATGTTTTAAGACCCTTAAGAAAGTGTTAATGTCTTAATGATAGTTTAAAATCCTTTAAGACAGTGTTAAATCCTTAAAAAAAATGTTAAGTCCTTAAAGAAAGGGTTCAGTCCTTAAAGAAAGGGTTCAGTCCTTAAAGAAAGGGTTCAGTCCTTAAAGAAAAGGGTTCAGTCCATAAAGTAAATGTTTTAAGTCCTTAAAGAAAATGTTAAGTCCTTAAAAAAAGGGTTTAGTTCTTAAAGAAGGGTTAAATCCTTAAAAAGAGACATCCTTAAAGAAAGTTGAGTCCTTAAAGAAAGTGTTAAGTCAGTCCTTATAGAAAGTATTTAGTTTTTAACAAAAGGGTTAAATCCTTGAAGAAAATGTTGAGTCCTTAAAGAAAGGGTTAAGTCAGTCCTTGTAGAAATTAGTTTTTAACAAAAGGGTTAAGTCCTTAAAGAAAATGTTGAGTCCTTACAGAAAATGTTGAGTCCTTAAAGAAAGGATGAAGTCCTTAAAGAAAAGGTCAAATCCTTAAGGACAGGTTAAAGGGCTTGAAGAGAATTTACAGAGGTCACAGAAAGGGTGAATGCCAAGTGTAAAAACCTTGTTGAAAAATGAGCTTGGAGAAAGAATGAAGAAAAAGAGTGCAGTATCCTTGTTGAATGATGTAATTGAAGAAAAAGTGAATGTGGAGTGTTTTAGATCCTTTATTAATTCATGTACATGGAGAAAATGTAGTTGTATATCCTCTACAGGATGTGGCAAACCAGCGTCAGTATTTGTTTGCAGTTTGTGGTTTTACTTGGTGCTTTCTATAGTTTGTCATTGTTTCTGAATGGTCAGTGCTCCATACTGTTGTTGAAATCAATGCAAAGCAGTAAGTTACTGCCAAAACACTAGCAGCTCAACTGAACGGGTAGTATGGAATTGCACACTGTGCTCCTAACCCCTAAGACACAATTGCTGGCATGAAGAACACTAGCATTGTCTGATATAACAGTTTCATTCCAAATTCACATAACCGTGATAAATGTTATGTTTACCAACACATTGTTATTTTTTAAATGAAATATATTTTCCTCTGTTTCTGTCAGGTGTTGAGGGCGGTGAAACTGCATGCAAGTTGGCCAGGAAGTGGGGTTACAAAGTGAAGAAAATTCCAGATAATCAAGCCAGAATTATCTTTGTGACAGGCAATTTCTGGGGACGGACATTGGCTGCTGTATCTTCTTCTACTGACCCTTCCAGTTACTTAGGTTTCGGACCTTTTATGCCTGGGTTTACAGTCATTCCATACAATGATGTTAAAGCACTAGAGGTATGTTTGTCTTTTGACATTGTGTTAATTTTCTGGGATTTTAGAAATGAAAATGATGATTTTTTTCCCCAACTGCTTATAACTGTAAAGCATCACAGAGAGGAGTTAGATGTAAAAATAAAAGGACCCTTTCTACACCTTTGGGCGTATAGGACTAGGCTAGGCCTATATTTTATAGACAAATCGACAAATGATGGGTGATGTGGTTAGCACCACACCAGCTGCCTTTACTTCCCAGGACTACACCAAGTACTCACTCAAGGCTGGGGGCAACCTGGAAGCCAAGGTCATTTTTAGAGAGAAGTAATCATTAAACATAAATGGAGCAGAGAATTCAGTGAATTCTCTTTTGTGACACAGTGATCAAACAGTGACAACCGTTCAGAGCGAATTATGACTTCATGACTATAAAAAGGGCATTTTTTTTCATAAACAAAAAGCCTTAAATATTTTTATTTTTTTAAATAGTTGTACTTAGACCTTCTAAACCACTGCACATTCCCAAACAATATCAGAACCATAATATAACCATACAGGGGACTAGCCAGTTCTGTAATGCTGAAATATTGGCCTTACTCGGATGGAAAGAGTTAACACGGAGCACACCATAAATGTATCATCCTCCTGAAAATTGCTAGAAAACTGATCAACCAACCTGTACCCAGATATCAGGGGAGTGTTGTTTTTTTTTTTTTTTAAAGTCACCCAGAGCTGGATTTAGCCATTCACATTTCCAGACAGACAGTTGATATACACTATGTATGCATGTATGTAAGTTGTACCCCACCAGGACATCACACAAGCGATGAATACCTGGTTACAGAAAATGCCACCATGCTGATGATCACCCGTGGAGAGGTCCCAGAAACCCCCTTCAGCCGTTTGGCCATGTTTTCAGGGGATGAGGTCATTAAATTAAATACACTAAGTCATTTCATTCCCAGTGATTCTACCAAAAGCAGCAAAGTATTACTGTAAATTATTTTTGCAACCCAGATCAGATGGGGCAAGACAGATGGGTGGGCAGGAATTGAGATGTTACTGTTTTCTTTGTTTCCCTGACTGACTGACTCATTTAGTAACTGTTTTTTTTTTACACAGAAAGAATGTCAGGACCCCAATGTCTGTGGATTTATGTTTGAACCCATACAAGGAGAAGCTGGAGTTGTGGTACCTGACGAAGGCTACTTGAAACAAGTTCGCGAGTTGTGTACCAAGTACAACGTTCTGATGATGGCTGACGAAGTACAAACTGGCCTGGGTAGAACAGGAAAGTAAGTATGCGTATAGTAAAACAAGTCTTTTTATATACAAGTCTTTTTAATATATGTATGCATTTTTATTGGGTTTAAAAATGTGTTATCAGTACAAGTAAAATTAGCTAAATTTTTTTAAACAGGCAATGCTATTTAGTGTGTAACAAGCTGTGTTATTTGTGTGTGAAACAAGCAGTGTTATTTGTGTGTGAAACAAGCAGTGATATTTAGCATTAAACAAGCAATAATATTTAGTGTGAAACAAGCAGTGATATTTAGTGTGAAACAAGCATCAATATTTAAAGTGAAACAAGCAGTGATATTTAGCATGAAACAAGTAATAATATTTAGTGTGAAACAAGCAGTGATATTTAGTGTGAAACAAGCAGTGATATTTAGTGTGAAACAAGCAGTGATATTTAGTGTGAAACAAAGCAGTGATATTTAATGTCTCTTCATAATTATCTTCTTCCTTCTTTTTGTTCTCCCTGCCAGTGGTTTTCAAATAAGAAAACTGGCCTCTGTAAAGTCTGTTGTGCGAGACATCTATTCCACTGCTCATAAAGCTTGGTTACCATTGGAATGCCAGTCAGCCAAACCTGAGATCTCTCTACTGCATGTAGCGAGCATGTCTGTAGCACATGTTCAGTATTCTGTGGGGGCTGTCCACATGGGCAAAGTTCTGATACCCGAGTCCTACATTTCTTGTACATGTGGCTACAGGGTCTGTTGTGTCCAGTACAGTCTGATTATAATAGTTTGTTTCTTTCATGTGAGAAGGTTGATTAGATCTTCAGGTTTGTGTGTGTCCTGGATTTGAAGTGTTCCCATGGAGTCGAGTTGCTGCCTTGAACTAGTTTTATTTTCCTAATAAGTGCATCCTCTGGCTGTTCTGAATGACTGTGTTTTTGTAGCCTGCTCTTTCATTTCATACCATGACCAAACTGTGTATGAAAGACACTTAATTGTAACATACAAAGGCAGAATATCAGACCCTTTTCAAATATGATTTAAAGCAAGATGATGTTCTATCTCCGCGACTTTTCTACTTGACCCCACTAAAATTATAACGAAATTGAAAGAAGAGTGTACTATAGGAGAAACCAAGAATATTTGGTTATGCAGATGACATTGATACTGTTGGATATAGCATCTCACAGAAGGGGACTAGTTATCATTCAAGATAAGGCAAAATACATGATAATAAGAAGAAGAGGATATTAACTCTGGCCACATACAAATCAATAATATGCAGACCAAACGAACGGAAACATGTGAGCACTTAGGTGCAAACTTCAAGTGCTCCAACATGCTGAGAAAAGAAATGCAGTCTAGAATGCAGTCTGGAAGTAACATATACTATACCCTTCAGCATCTGCAAAGGTCAAGGTCTCTATCCTGTAAGCTCAAAATAAAAAAATATAAATCGTTAAGACCCGTTGTTTTATATGGCTCTGAAACTTGGAGCACAACTAAAAGCTTAATCCTTATTACAAACTTTTGAAAATGAGTCTTACAATAAATTTTTAGACCCATTAATGATGCAAATAACAGGCAATGGAGAGTGAGAAGCAACAATGAAATTCATAACCTGTTTAAATCACCATTGATCACTGGCATCATGAGATCTAATATACTGAAATGGCTGGGCATATTGAGAGAACATCAGATGACAGAGAGGTGAAAACTGTATGCACAAGGGACATGAATGATCGTAGACCACGAGGCAGACCAAGAAGACGATGGGATTGAGAAATAATATCCAGACAGACCTACAAACAGTTGCTGTCACCAACTGGACAGAAAAGGCTGACCAAAGAGATGAATGGAGGCGGGTGATATTTGCAGCAATGAATCTCAAGGGCTCAGGATGCTGAAGAAGAAGAAACTATTTCATTTAACTTAATATTGCAAAGACAGTCTAGTTATACTGTTCTCAGGTTTTCTCAACGTGTTTCCTATCCAAAAACAGCATTTTTTCTTCACCTCTCGGTCCACTGGAATCGGTTTAGTTCTCCCCCTAAAGCTCCACGTTAGTGATTCTATCATACCATTTAAAATGTATTCTGCGCAGGCACCAGTTAATGAATGTAGTTTATTATTAATTGCCTTAGTTGTTCTCCGTGTTTCCACTCAACACTACTGATTTGGCGTCCTAAGAGACAAGGAACCAACAGTCTGCATATGAATAAGTCAGATTAGTAAAACAGATGTTGCACATAAAGCTGAGGTTCTGAGGACAAGACTGAAAGTCCAGAAGTGGATGAACAACCAGAATTTCCTGCCAGAGTTCACAGCAGTGAACGTGAAGAAGAAACAGAAAAGAGCTTTAGAACAGAAGTTGAATATCCATACTGAAAATTTATGCACCAAAAGTTGTTCTAAATAGTTAAACTGAATTAATGCTTATTTATTTCTTAAATTGAAAATTAGTTCTAATAGTAATATTGCAGCAGGTTTTCCTTTGTCTTATGTGCTATTATGTCTGTTGTAATTTTTACATGCATCAATCAAACCTTTTATCAGGCGCCTAGCTTGTGATCATGAGAATGTGCGTCCAGATTTGCTTATTCTAGGAAAGGCACTTTCAGGCGGAGTATTACCAGTATGTATATCTCTTTAGAATCTTCTCTTTGCCTGTCATTTCTTTCTGCTGTTTTCTCCTCCTTCATGATTGTTATTATTTGTATTCACTCTGATGTGATGAAATGTATAATATCACAGATGTAACAAGGAAGGCTAACCTGGTCAACAAATGTCTACAGAGATTGGATATGCTGGCCCAAAGGCAAAAATATTGTGCCAAACTGGCACAATGTATGTAAATCTTCAGATGAACATAGAAGAAGAAGAATATCACAGATGTTAGGGACTACAGGCACAAGGTGAAAAATGATGGTTAAATAGTTTTGCAGCTTTTACATATCCTGGTACGTAACTTTGCCATATGTTGTTACTGTGAAGTCCTTGATAGTTGGCCACTGAATGAACTAGAAGAGGATCTCAGAGGTATTTGGACCCCCCAATCCCCTCCACCCCCCCCCCCCCACCACCACCAAAAAAAAGTGTAAGAAAACTACAAGGGGGCTTCAAATGGAAGCCTTAAATGTGCAATGGCAATTACAGTAAAGGTGCTGTTGTCTTATAGCCTGTAGTATTGTTGTTAAGGATGTCAGAGTGTTAAGCAATGACATCACAATGGATGAACACATTTACATCATAATGACAGCTTATAGATGGCCACCCCACTTTTGCTGTGCACTAAAGAGGAGCAGCGTTCTATTATGTTTTTTTTTTTTTTTTGTAATCAGTAAAGTGGTGAAACCTGTAGACATTTATCAGCGAATGAAGTTTCAGTATGCTTAAACATACCTGCTAGTCTAGCATGTGTATGAATGGAAAAACAGGAAATTTCAAAACATTTACAGTCAACTCTGGGTTCATTGCTCAGAGTGCCTGACCTGGTGGTGAATTGTCTGTCACACAAGTCACACCATTTTGAAAATTTTCTGCTCCACTCATACTTCATGATATGAGCCTTACTGAGACTGCAGTGTTTTTTTTTTTCACAAGGGACAGTGATGGACATTTTATGTGGTATTTGTTGGCACTGGAACAGTCATTTTGGGGTGATCTATTTGCTGTGAATTTGGAACTGCAATTAAACGATTGACCTATTACCAGAAACAGTCCAGTAATGCTGTAGGATATAGAGCAGTGACCATTGTCATTAGGATGAATAAGAAAGAAGTATACACAAGTTATCTTTATCAAGATAGAATTATGGATTTTTGTTTAACCCTACCAGACCTGAGGCCCTGAACCTAACTGTCCCTATAACCTGAGCTCCTGGGCATTACTGCGAAAAAACCAACTTGATATACAAAAATATTAGTTACATGCAAACAAGTGGCTAGAATATGATGAAACTTGGAGACATTGTAGAAAATAGGCTTACCTTTTATCTAGCGCTAATATTCCACCTTTGTGTTAGTGATTCTATCATACCATTTAAAATGTATTTTGCGCAGGCACCAGTTAATGAATGTAGTTTATTATTAATTGCCTTAGTTGTTCTCCGTGTTTCCACTCAACACTACTGATTTGGCGTCCTAAGAGACAAGGAACCAACATTCCTGTTCGAGCTGTATGGCCTTATAAATCTGGAGCTGGCCGTGGATGGACACACCCCCTTTTCCTACTATCGACCTATTTCAAGATTTATAATTTTCAAGATTTTCCTCATTCAGGCTCTCACTGACAGTGTCACTTCAAGAACCTATTCTTTATGAAATTATCACAGATAATGAATATATATATATATATCTCACAGAGTCTGAATAAACCAAAGTAACGATCACCTGTTGGACTGTGACAAGCCTAGAACTTTGTTCATCAGCCACTCGTTTCATTGTGAATGTTCAGAAATTTTTCACGTAAAACAACACAAATATAATCCAAACACATGCAGGCAGACATTTGCAGTGTCTAACAAAGAGGATTGATAACGATTGGGTGGTTATTTTTAGTCTGTGACGCATCGTTTTCCCCGTACTACGCAAAAAGCTGAAAATTTGGGCCAGCGGTATAGAGACAGGTTAAGAAATTCCCTGTAAACCGAGCCAGCGGTCTGGTAGGGTTTAACAGTACTAGAAAAAATGTACTATAGTAGTACAAAGAACCAAATAGAAATTATAGCTGCTAGAATGCTAAGCCCACTTCCGTCAACAAGGGGATAACACATAAAAAATTATAATGAATCAGATCACAAAACACTGAAGATTGGAACATTTAATTATTAAAATATGATTGCATCTTGTTGCTTAGTTCTGTCACATATAATTTCTTGGTATTATAGTTCCCACTCACTTTAAACAGCAGGGCACTTCAAGGTAGTCCTGGTATAAGGGGTAATGGTGCCTTAATTATACCTTGTTATGGGGTATTCAGTATTTGCCCTGTTGGATTGCTATTCAAGATGCAACTTTGAGTCTGCAGTGGTGGTCAAACCTTGAGAAAGTTATCTCTGAATGGAAAAGTTGGTCAGTCAGCCTGTTAATATTGCGATAAGCTGCATACAAAGCCCTTTTATTTCCATGCTACCATAGTCAGACATGGTCAGTCACATGGAAATAAGATGTTTGAGAAATTCTGCAGGAATGACCACAAGAGAGAAAATCATGAAGCCATAAGAGAAAAAGTCAGCATTGAACCAGTACTGATAAAAAACTACAAAGATGGTGAAAGCAAAATGGTTTGTCCATATATTGAAAGTGCCTTGTAATGCTGTACCATACAAGGCATAAACTAAAAGAAGAGAGGGATGCAGCGCCGGGGTAGACACAGACAAAGATGGAAAGATAACAGAGAAATTTGACAATAGTGCGTGTATCTGTCTATGGTCAAGGCTGCCAAAAGAGCACAAACCCAGAGCTGTATCTCTCTCTGTCTAAAATGGTTTAAAGGAAGTGAAGAAGAATAACAACTATGATAAACACACATGTTATGAAAGTCTGGTATTCTGGTAGTCTTAGTTTCAGCTTCATAGCAAATGGGTCACCCCATCGTTGCTCCAATCCTGTGACAACAGAATTTCAAATTATGCTTTGCTACCCTATTGCAATAGGTATCTGCTGTCTTGGCTGATGATGAAGTAATGCTTTCCATTCTCCCTGGAGAACATGGATCCACATTTGGCGGCAATCCTTTGGCTTGCAAAGTAGCTCTTGAGGCACTGAAGGCAAGTAGACTTCATAAAAAGTTTTTAAAAGTATGCGAAAATCACTGGCTTAGTCTTAGTCACAAATTATTTTACTTGTTTCAAAATCAGAAGCATTGCATATTAACCAACTTACCATATGTTATTGATCGCGACCATTGGTTAGCATTTTTTGCCTGTTGGCTCAGTGTTTAATTTGAATCCCCATTGATATGGATTTGTAACCCTTTCACTTAGAGACGTGAAAAAAACCAACACTTTCCAGTTGTGTTTGATTCCCAGTAAATGTCGTTTTTCTGACTTGTCTATAATGACTTGTTTATGAGACGCATAGTTAATGCTATTGATTGTGTTCGTGCCTGCGCAAACATTTAAGTGATTGTCAGCGACCTAATTTACTATAATCATTTTATATGGCTTGTTATGTAGGCCAGCTAACAGACTTCACTACCCTGGATACGCACCTGCTAAGTACAAACATAATCTTTAATGTTCAATGAACAATACAGCTGTAGACACCTCAACTGAGTAGGCAGTTCTTATCCGAAACCGCTGGCGTTGAGCAGCTTTTACATTCACTGGTCAACCCAAGCCGGTCCCCATGGATCTACAAGAAACACGACTCCAAACTAACAGTTTATCAGTGCTAACTAAGCCGCCGTCTATTGCCACATGGGACTCAGCGGCACACGTAAGGAGAATGGCCTAAGCGTGACTGGGCAGTGTTACCGCCATTAACAATGCATGACACACCTTCACTAACTGCTCAAACATATACTGCATGGAATAGGTCTAACCCATCCGACTTCTAACTACTATCAGAGACCAAAGGAAATTACTAATTAGTCCGCGTAAAAAAACCCAAGCCTTCATCAGGGTTTGAGCTCGGGACCTCCAGCACCCTGCTCCACCCTGTTCCTGATTATTTATTACTCCCTTCATATATCTTTATATATTTATTTTAAAGTTGTAAATGTAGATAAACATTTTACTAATTGATTAGTGGCCTGTGTAAAATACAAAATTTTTAGGATTTTTTCCTAAAATTCCAACAGACCCCGTGATTCATGTTTTAGTGTTCCCGGGCAGAGAGGGTTAAAATAGATCCGCTCTCTGAGGTCAGCCAAGTCTAAAAGGGTTACCAGTAAATATCCTGGGCAGAAAATGGACGTCTTGGTACAACATCATTCAGCCCTTGATGATTTGTCAGTTAAAATATGGGACAAGCAACTTATGCTCATCAGAGTATGGAGATTGGTCCTTTATTTTTCACTTTTACTTAAAATCTTTTGTGATACAGCCTTTTTTTTTTTCACTTTTACTTAAAATCTTTTGCGACACAGCTTATTTTCTTCTCTCCTCATCACCAGACAGGTGTTGATTTAGTTTGACCAACTCTAAGTATTATCTTAGCATAAATATAATTGTCTTGTCTACCTCTTGCTCGCACACCTATAACTTTTCCCAAGCTGCATGGCTTTCACAAGTGTGTGATGTATTTGTTTGTTGTTGACCCAGTGACACATGAAGTTATTGGACTAATGGTAGACAGAAAAAGATGATGGACAGACATACAGTGGTAACTCGGTATACGTCCTTAATTCATTCCAGATCCTTGACTGTTTGCTAAATAGCATGTATACCAAGCTAGTTTTCCTATAAGAAACAAAGGGAGAATGATTAATCTGTTGCCATATAAAAAAAATCCTATTATTTCCATATTATGCCTTGATGTGGTTGTATAAAATAACTAATTTACTGCCCTATAATAAAATATATAAATACAAAAGAATTTAGATTAAATAATTAACATTTTAATTTCACATTACCAGTCTGAGAAGAGTTGATTGCCTACTAGGATGCTGCTGAGAAAGGAGGAGAAAAGAGAGTAAAGCCCTTCCAAAAAACTTCAAGAGTCAGAAATTCTGCTCTTTTCTTTTTCTGTCTGTCTTTTTGCTACTTAGACCTTTGAGACATCAGGTTTGACTTTTGCTAAAAATGTATCCAAAGAAATTTCCTTCTACCTTCTCAGAATGTTTAGGAAGTATCACATTGTCTGGTTTTTTAAGACATCCCTGTTATGGCTTTTTTGGGCTTTGTTGGAGTGGTGCTTCTCTGCAAAGTCATTAACATACATCTGTGGCTTGGTCTTTGTGTCGTGACTAATTTGGACTCATACAAGTTCTAACATGCATGTAGTACTTCAAACAAAGGTCATTTACCAAGCAAAAGTTTTCATGTCTAACCAGGATGTATTCCAAGTTGAACATATACCAGAGTACTGCTATGTCTTTTAGTGTTGTCATATTGACTTGATTTACTCATCTGCCTCTTTTCTCCATCCCAGATGTTTTGTAAAAAAAATCTCATGTATTTTGGTTTGGCAGCATTCTCACTAGATGGCCAAACTGTTTCATTCTTTGTCTCTGAATGTATTTCAGACAACTTTCTAATGCTGTTATTCGTAACCCTGTCCCTTCTCATGTTATTTGAATTGACCTCTTTCTGTGTCTTCCATCAGTTCTGTTTTCATCTCCAGTTTCTCTAGACTTTATAGCCAGAATTAAAGAGGGTTAATGTAGCAAATTTCTGAGAATACAATAGTTGAATCAAGCTGCCTCCTGCTGGCTTCTAAAGACTGAGCTCATGAGGAGGAAGTGGCTCCGTAGCAGGACATGACAATTGCTTGGCAGAGCCCAGTATCTGAGTGCCATATACTGGCTCTCCATGGAAGCCTTCTTGGATGGCAGGAAGATGAAAAATTCTTATGCCGTATTGATTTAAAAACTCATTAGGTTGTGGAAGAAGAGAAGTTAGCAGAAAATGCTGAGAAATTGGGTATCATATTGCGAAGAGAATTGAGCAAACTCAGTACACAGATAGTGAAGGTTGTCCGTGGGAAAGGTCTTCTAAATGCTATTGTTATAAATAAAGGTGAGTACTATTAGCCTGCAACCTGTAGTGTCATAGCTCATTGTGTTTGTTATTTTTGCAAAACATGGAAATATGGTCAGTCACTAAGAATAAGGTAAATACACAATACTGTGAGTTTTACTGAGATGATTAATGGCCATGATGATGTTGTGTGACAACACACAGTATAAGAACAAGCAATTGCAAACAACACATAAAGTTATAACAGCTACCCTGAAGTTCTGTGTATTAATTGTTGAAAACTTCTTAATCTGAGCTAAGGGAGCTGCGTGGTCTTGAGGCATGGTGTAGGTCTCGAGTGCTAGAGGCTCAGAGTTCAATCCCCAGTGAGGGTTGGGATTTTTTCATGTGGACTTGGACTTCTAGTGATTCGCCCACGTGTATTGTTGTGCAGTTAAAGAATCCCTTGGCAGTTGGAAATCAAAAAGAGTAGCCTACCAGCGCTACCTGGGCAAAATTTGGAGTTAAAAATCTACCCAAAGTATTTCAGGATCCTCGCAGGTGCTACGGGGCCTGTGCACAGTGCTTAACTTCTACGGACTTAGACTTGAGTTAGAAGAAAAACAAAACATTAATAGGTAACTGCTCGTGAGCCATGATGTTGATCCATTGTTCAAACAAACCTCATAATATGAGCTAGTATTGCTAGTGACACTTGCCATTGCCATCAGCTGTGGGTCCCATTCCTTCCATTAGCACAGTCCTATACTATCCTCCAGAATGACGAAGGGTAGTAACAAGAATGAGCTACCAAATTTATATTTCACACAAACAAAACCATTCTGGCATCATACAGTTACTTTAAAGAATCATGGTCATCGAGCAGTCAAGAAGTAACACTTGTATGTGTTATGCCACAGACAACAGTTCATTATAAACTGTTTTTAAAAAATGTTTTATTAGATGGTAAAGCCTATACACCTAAAAACTAATGATGACCCAAATGCAAAAAAAAAATGTCATTTGATTGGTTGAACCCTAAGGTATTCTTGAGTGCAAATTGAACAGTTTTACTCATTTAATTACAAAGATTGTGAAAGTCAAAATTGTTTTTTTCAATAGCTACGAGTTTAAAAATAAAGTATTATATATAAATTTTTTTATAATTGCAAAGTAAATATTTACTGAATGTTAATAATAATCTAGTATAATAATTACAGCTACATTAATAATATTAAGAAATCATATCTTATATCAGTTGAACCGGTTTTTTGTTTGTTTATATATATATATATATAAAGTGTCAATGTATGTGCTGTTGGTAATTGTGTGTGTCCACAGTCTTCTATCTTATGTATTGTCAGTCATTTCTGATAGATTTTTTTACTTGCCATGATACCAAACTAACATCTCTCTTAATCTCTCTTTGCCTTCCTTCCTCTTCTTGTCTGTTGTGATAACATATTCCAGTTTTTACCTTTTTAAGAATGTGGACTGTCTGCATCTGAAGCATATAGTCTGCTCTGTTTGTGAGCTAACCCTATCCCTACCCTCCAAAAAAAAAAAAAAAAAAAACTGGTTTTATCAATGTTTGTGTGCTTTTGATCATATGTCTTTTGGGAGTTGCCAGTACTCCTATATAACAGCTTTTGTACTGGTTGCAATTGCATAGTGTGTAGACATAGTAGGTATGATTACATAAAAGACTTCCTTTTTAGGTGAAAAGGAAGTCAATATTTTTCTTGCTGTAATAAACTTATTTCCTCTCTGGCTGTGTAAACAAAATTCCTGTTTTATTGATAAAAAAGAAGGAAAATTATTATTTCTTTAGCCTGTATTTAGTGATTATATGAAAAATCACCTTTGCTCAGAATGGCTGTAAATATGATAAATCCATCTTTTTAATGTCTTAGGGCCACGGTAGTGCAACAGCTTGCCTGTCTGTTTGGTGGTCATAGGTTTCAACCTCTTGGATTTGTATCAAAACTGACAGACTCCAAATTTCTTCCTCTAGTTTGTTAGGGTAGAGTTTCAGAGAATTATAATGATGCTTTTCTTTAAAAAAGAAATTATGAAAGGGACTTTTCTAAAAAAAAAAAAAAAAATGTATAGGACAAAAGGGTTAGTATCTCCAACACATATTTATATGCTTTTTATCTGACCATGGTTTTTTTCATCTTTTTTTTTAAACCTACATTTTCTCAGCTCTTTATAATTTCTCACTAATTGTCTGACAGTTCCTTGGAGCACATTGTTGGGGTAACTGGAGAAAGGGAAGAAGCAGAAAGGGATCTTTCCACTTCACTTGACAGAGATAGAATATTCTTCATCCTTTGAAATGCACTGCTGCATTAAAAAATTTAGTTCATTTTCTTTTTGTTATTTTCAGGGTAAGGGTAAAACTGATTGGGTTTTCCTTTATGATTACAGGTTATGATGCTTGGGATATCTGTCTGAAAATGAGAGATAATGGCTTGCTGGCTAAACCCACTCGTGGTGATGTCATTCGCTTTGCCCCACCTCTTGTCATCAGTGAGGGACAACTGTACGAATGTATTGACATCATCTGTAGAGTTGTTTCATCTTTCAAGTAAACACTGTCTTGGTTGGCAGCAATATCAGAAGGAATGTGCGTCTCTTGGGGATGGGTAGTTAAGTTCCAGAGTATAACACTGTGATAACAAAAATTGTTTACAAACCAGTTAAGTTTGTGAGTAATGTGGTAATACCTCACAAAGTTATTGGCATTCATTTCTTAAGAAGCAAGCTTATGAGTTGCCACAAGCTAGATCTGAGATCAAGTGAAATATTCAAGAAACTTTTTTTTTTTTTAAACCAACTTTGAATTATATAATCTGACACACTTCAAATGGGAGCTTTACAGAGTGAGTCAGAAATATAAATACATGTTTAACAGCATGTTTAATCACATGACGTTCTTATGGCTATAGAAATGTGATCATTGGAAAGACATTTCTTCAAACTGCTTCTGGTTGTCAGAAATCATTGTCTCCACTTTACCCACAGTCAGTAACAGCAGTGTTAAGTTATAAAACATCTCATCCATTTCCCAGCTTCATGGTCAGTATGAAACGCAGTCAACCAGTCTGCAGTCATAACTTGCCGCTGCATGTTCAGCAACATCCTAGCTAATGTTGTGAACTTAGGTTACGTAAACATACAAAGCTTCAAATTTAAATGCCATCCACTGTTTCTGTCACTAATATAAAGTACCATATTGTATTTATTTTACATATGTGGCAATATTTCTGACTCATCATATTCTTGCTTGAATACACGAACAGAAGACATACCAAACATGGTGTAGTTGCATCGTGTTCAGAAATAATTATTAAGGTAGAGATATATTTATTTCCTTATCAAATGTGCAAACCATTGAAGATGTCTCATTTGAGCGCAAAAACAAAGTGTTATTCTTTTGCTTTATTAATTTACCTTTCAATAGGTTTACTAATATGAAATCATATTGTTTACATAACAGTACATAGGAACAATTACAATTACCCATTGTTCAAATTAAATGAGTTACAAATACAAACTGTTTGAGATATTATCTAAGGTTGTAAATTTTAACCGTATTTACAAGGAAAAATGGAAGTATACTCTTCAGGAGGATATTAATTGAAAATCAAATATTTATTTTTTATCTTATAAAATTATCATCTATCTGTCCAAAAAGTTTTGTTTCTTTTTGGCTTCAGTTTTGTGATAATTAATTTTATTCTTCAGATCTCTGCCAGCATCATTATTCTGCTGACATTTGTATCCATATCCATTTATTGCTTTTTAAATTTTTTTTACTTAGTGCCATGTTCTTTTAATATTAGTTCCTTTGTTATATTCTCATTACATTGTCATTCTTTTGGTTTTTCTTTTATGTTAGTTGCATATGTCAATCAGATTATTATTTTAACTTGTCCTTCTAGCATTCTCCCTATATTTGTCTGCTTATAGTCACAGCGCCTTTTGATATTGGTAATCATGTGGGCCTACACCTCATGCTGTTGTACCTTCAGTCATGCTGTTGTTGTACCCTCGGTTACGCTGTTTGTACCTTCTTCAGTCATGCTATGGTACTTTAAGTCATGCTGTTTGTACCTTCAGTTTCTCTAACACATATGTTCTTCCAGCCATGTTTCCAAAAGTATATCTTGCCCTTTAACTTTCCCATCAAAAGAATCAGATTCTTTAATTTGTTGCTATTTCTTGAGCAAAATTATTCAAATAATTTTAAAAACTACACAGTTCAGTTGCATATAGATGATTTTTTTTTTTTTGAAAGTTTTTCTATTTTCATAGATTTCACTTCTCCTGTGAATCTTATTTTTTATTTTTCTTAATTGTATGTTCATTGTTAAATTTCTTGTAAAACTCCTTTGCTCTCATGATAACTACTGAGAATTGCTGTAGATCCACTTTTGAACAAACTTGCTCACATTTCTCTCCTTTCTGTTGTCTATTTTCACTTTCATTCTTGTTCCATTCAGCATTGTGTTGTGAAGAGCTTTCAGAAAAGTTTTTTTGTTGGCATTAAAGTCTTTTCATTGTTTCTCCGATTTTGCTAACCCATCTCTCATGGGATTTACCTTAATTAACTTTGACTTTGTCATGATGTGTTATTTTAAAACTAAACATAAAAACCAAGGTGTATATAGTTTCTGTAATACTTTCCAGTGGTTATGGTAACGTCTTGTTTTATTTGGACCGGGGGGGAGGGGGGGGGGATAAATAAGTAAAATAATGAGCATATAAACTATAAATGAGATTTTGACTTTTAAAACCAAATAAATAACAGTGGTTTCAAACTGCTAAATATTAATCAGAGAGGGTCTGTGTTGAGAGATTCTTTGGTTAATACATTGACATTTAAGCTGAATTCAAAAATTAAAATGTAGAATTATGAAATAAGGTAAAAGCTAAACACTTGACTTGAGGAGGCAAACTATAACCCTCTACTAAGCCAGGAATAAACAAACAGACATTAGGAAAGAGATAATCATTCGCCATCTAAGGGAAAACAGTAAATTATAAATAGACTGATGCAGTGTATTGTGCTGAAAATTTCAGTCAGTGTTTGTATATATTAGTTTTAATGTTTAAAAATATTTTTTCCAAGCTCACGTTTTGTGTTCTGTTTAAATGTATGTTATTTTTGCCGCTTTTTTTTTTTAACGTTATAGATTTGCTTCTGAATGTTGAATAGCTTGCTCTAACTTGAAAAAAATCATTTAGAATGTAGATCATGTTTTTTCCTCTCTGCTTCATGCTTTTTCTGAAGTTGTATATTTGTTTTGTTTGTTGACTTGCTGTGTAAAATTAGTTAGATCTGCATTTGAAAACAGTATTCAACTTTTAATTTCTGCACTATTTAAAATCTTTGTAATTGTCTTTATTTATGTTTAAATCTGAGCTTTTCATGCTTGTATATTTGTTCCATTTTAATAATTCACTTCAGGTGTTCACTAATATTTGCAACAATTTTGTTTTTAGAAATGTACAATTGTATGAATTTTCCACGTAGTTATAATAGTTTTTGTGATTTTATTTTTCTTAATTGCAGATCATGTTTAGTTTAAGACGTGACATTTTGTTTTTGTTTATTGCAGATATTTTAAAAATTTGGTTTCCCCTTTTTTTTCTTTTTATAACCATGGAAAAAATAGGGGGGAAAATGTCTTTCATTTATGAAAAGAATGATCCATGTCTTTCAGATGAAAGTCTGTTGAGCCTTTTAATGCTTAAGATGTGATTGTAAACATCGGTATTAAAACTATTTGCTCATATTGAGCATGAGAATGTTCCATGATTCTAAAATACATCAGAGCAATGATCAGTTGTTTGTTTCATTTAAAGACATTGAAACATGATTTTAACAAGAACTCTGAGATATAACCTATTTATATTTGGGCTGTTCGACATAAATAACAATATATATATAGTAACCCTTAACTCCCTTGAGTTCAATGGTAAGTATTTTTACCAGATCAGTGGGGTCATGATGGGCATCAAGATAGGTCCCAGTTATTCATGTCTCTTTAGGGGCCACCTTGAAGGGAGAGAGAGGGAGGGAATTTAGGAACAACAGTTCTGTATATGCAATAAAATACTTTGAAGCAAAGAAATTATAACATGTTCTGTGCACATGACATATATATATATGTCATGTCATGTCATGTGCACAGTACATGTTATAATTTCTTTGCTTCAAAGTATTTTATTGCATATACAGAACTGTTGTTCCTAAATTCCCTCCCTCTCTCTCCCTTCAAGGTGGCCCCTAAAGAGACATGAATAACTGGGACCTATCTTGATGCCCATCATGACCCCACTGATCTGGTAAAAATACTTACCATTGAACTCAAGGGAGTTAAGGGTGAGTACCAGTTCGGCAAGCTGTACAAGAACTGCAGAAGGGATGATGGGTTTGGACCTGTCCAAAAATAACTGTCCAAAAATAACTGGAGTGCCTTCAGACCATCAGAGGGAGGGACAGAGGGAGCATATGTCTAAATGTCAACCCTTGTGTCCTTTATCAATTTGTTTTTAACACATTCTATCCAAGCAGTACACAGTGTAAATTTATATTATTCACGTACAGCAATCAAAAGTAAGTAAAGGACCCGTTTCCACACCTTTAGGCAAATACAGAAATCAAAATGCTGTATATATTGGATGTTTTATTTAGTCAAAGACTCTAGAGAACTCTGGCAAAATTGTGTTTGCTACAGGGATTGTGTCTTTGGCCCATATGGAAGTAGAACACAGTTTGTTGAGTTTTTTATTGGGTTCCTCAGACTTCGGCTAGGACCTTCTGATATTGAAAGAGTTTCATAAACAAAATGCTGTCACAGTCTCTGTACCAACCCTTTAACTCAGTATCACTGTTTTTTTCTATGTGTTGTGGGAGCTACTGTGATGTGCGGCTAGAAACTCACCTCAGCCCAAAGGTTGAAGGTTTGCACTGGCATCGAGCCGGATTGTTTCCGTAAAATGATCTTAGCTCCCAGGTTGACTCAGCTTTAAGGAGTAGCAGGTAAAATCCTGGGAAGTAAAGATGGCCGGCATGATGTTGACCACAGAGAGCCGATTGGTTTATAAAATTTAGGTCTAGCACTATATGCCCACTATGCCTAATTGCTTGGAAAAGGGTCTTTCACTATGTGTTTTATTATCACTTGACTTTACTCCAGTGTTTTAAGGAAACAGTAACTCTGCATTGTTTATTACTGGTTTTGTCGGGTTGGAATTTGTTTGCATATCTTTTCATTTTCTATAGTATTGGAATAGAACATTATTAGTGTTTCACCACATTGTGCTAAGCCATATATTTATTTTGAACAATGTTTTTTTAAAGAGATTAACATGTTGCCACATTTTTGCCCCTTTTTAATCCATATTAGCTATGATAACAAATGCTCCATAATTTGTAATTAAAAAAGACATGTTGGTTCTGCATGTAAAATCAGCGGCAACCAAAGAAAACTTGCTCGGGTGATTTTAGTTCAGGGAAGTAACAGATTAAAGACCTTTTTCTGTGTATGCCTTGAAAAGGGGAGTTTGCATGCTATGCTTT